AACAAAGATATCTTTATAGTTCTCCCCAACAGTTAAACTACAGAAGCAAGAACCATCTCTTTCTGGAAGGCTCAGGTCTTAATGCTGTGTGATCATGGTTAAATGACCAAATTTGAGTGTTGCCAAGAGATTTCTTTAGTTATAGCCTGCACATGATGTGCTTTATTGTTGCTATCTGTTGGTGTGCTTTATGGTTAGTAATTCATTGCTATAGTTTTTCTACAACTTTTATTTCAAAGGCGTATTTACAACTTACTTCATTATTGCATCTTTTAAACCTCGTATGTTGCCTGGAATGTAGTCAAGTATAGAAAAACATGATATAAGTAACAAAATAAAATAAAATAGAAATCTTACTTTGATACTGCTTTCTCCCAAAAAAGGACACATACATTGAGATTTTGCCTAAAATCTACCTCCACTGTATATAGTTTTAAAGGAAATGCCTGGATAGCAACAAGGAAATTAAATTCATGTCAGTGCTCCTCCTCTTTCTAGGGCATGCCTCATTTGAACATGATTACCAAATGAGAAATCAATCTAACTTCAAAAAAGATGCATAAATTAGGCGTATGAAACTTTCAAAAGGGGACGTACCGGGCAAAGAAACATTGTGCTATATTTCTGTGTACTGTATGACTAATTCAAGGATTAGGGAATTGTTTTTACCGATTTGAAGCCGGAGTGGGCAAAGTGGGGTCCTCCAGGCACTACTGAACTATAATTTCCTTCACCTCGAGACTGAAGGATGCCTATGAAGAAGGCTGTTTAGCCAATGGTGAGGAATGCTAGAAGGTGAAGACCAACAATGTCTAGAAACAATGTGTAGAAATGAGATATAGCTTGCTTGCACCTTAATCATTGAAGATGAATTGATTTTTTAAAAAAAGTTCCAGTGATAGCTTATATTGCTAACAAAGTCTGAAAAGATCAACTTGCCCAGATCTCTTAAACTACATCAATGAAATGTACACCACTTGTACTATGCATATGAAAGCAACTCAGTGTAAAAATCTGTATATTAATATGTATCTCTTTCCTTTAGCTTGGAAATAAGAAGAATCCCAATCTGATGCTGAACAGCCACTGAAAACAAGGAAAACAAGTAAAAGATTTTTCAAACTAAGTACCAGTAAGTGTACATTTAACAGTTTGCTTGTGTGGCTCGCATTCAAGAATAGTGAGGTGCAGAATTTACATAGTCAAGCAAATTCCACTGAGAATGTGACTAACAGTGTATCACAGAGCACTGAGAAAAATGAGGTCTTTTCAATAAACACATTATCAGTCTTTTTGTTCATGTTTTCATCCTTTTCCCTGAACAAGGAGAGAAATGTTACACAAGGTACATGAGGAACAAAAACTGTCTGAAATTGGTGGGTCACTTGGTGTTTTTAGCTGGAAACATTTAGATCGGTAAGTCAAGTGTTTAAATTACTGTAACAGATGCCTGTGGATCAGGTGTCTTCAGCGGGAACGATTTTCTGCTTGGGTTTTTATCAGTAAACGACAAGTACCTTCCCTGTGAGCCCCTGTGCTTTCCCTTCCTCTGTTCAGTGGAAAACAGTTCAAGCAAGCAAAAGAATCAACTAATGTAACAGGCTTTAAAAAGGTGAAGTTTTCCATTTCAAAGCAGCCTCTAATCAATGACAGGGCACAAAAGGGAATGCACACATGTTTTTACAGGCGCACTCCTCAGACCTTAGAGGAGCTTTGGGGAAACATGTTCTGCAGAATCAATATGACCTCACTGGTTACAAATTTCGTATCAGCTGCATGAAACAAATGGATGTTTTAAACAAGCTAGGTCACAGAGATTAGCTGCAACATGACAGGGGCTTCAATACATATTCTGGGGGGGGAGGGGAGGAAGTCTGTTGAAGACAAACATCAGAATAATTTTTGGAAATAAAATAGCAACCAAGCCTGCATCAGCACAGCAACTGATGAGAATCTAAATCTCAAACTTAAAGTTACAATAAATTATTCATCAGAAAGTATATCATTTTTATTTTGCTTTGTGATTAAGAGCTGGACACTTCCCTCTACTGCAATTCATCTGATTCTATGCTGGGCAACAAAGACACTGATGTTCAGCTCCAATCAATGACCTCACTTTGAAGCAGTCCCAAGAGTGGTGAAATGCACAGCCTGATGAGATTTAAGCGCTGAAACCTGGAGCAAACCAGCACCACAGTATCTACTGCTCTAGAGAAAAACACCCCCTGTCAACACAGCAGCTGAACCCCAGTTAACTTGCAGTGGACTTTGGACCTCCTATACAACTTGGGTTTTATAGTATATAATAAGAGATACTTATAATTCTAGTTAAGGGACAAGGTGTGATGAGACACAGTGACATTTTCAAAATGAATCCACTCTTCTGAAAATGTCTATACAGTGGTGCCTCGACTTATGAACGCAATCTGTTCCAGAAGATGGATGTAACTCGAAATGGTTGTAAATCGAAGCACCATTTCCCACAGGAATGCATTGAGATGCAATTAATCCGTTCCGGCCAAAGAAAAAAATCACACACACACAAAAAAATCACTGCAAGACTCATTGGAAACGCGATTAATCCCTTCTGGCTGAAGGGTGGGGGAGAAAAGCAATCAAGTATGCAAAACCCATTGGAAATGCACAGAAAACAAACAGAGCAGATCGGAAATGCACAGAGAACAAAGGGGGCAGGTCAGAAATGCAAAGAAAACAAAGGAAAAAGCAAGGGAAGCATGTGTGACCTATTGGAAATGGGGAAAAACCCAAAAAGCAAACAACCCTCCCCAAGATCCATCGGAAATGGGAGGAAAACTCAAAAAAGCAACCAGAATCCCCAAGACCCATCGGAAATGGGGGAAAACTCAAAAAAGCAACCAATCCCCCAAGTCCCATCAGACATGGGGGGAGTGACCAAAAAACAAACAAACCCCAAAGACCCATCGGAAATGGGAAAAAACAATCCAAAAAGCAAATACCCCCCCAAGACCCATCGGAAATAGGGGGAAAACGAAAAACAAACCCCCAAGACCCCTCACAGAAACATAACGCCTCAAAAAACATAACGCCTCAAAAACACACTGCAAAAACACCCAGAACAGTTTTTAAAAAGCAGAAAACAGCACCTTACCTGACCAGGCAGCCCAAAACCTCCTTGCAAACACACACACAGGCTCTCAGAAGCAGAAGGAGGCAGTCCCAAACCTCTTGCAACGCACACTCTCTAACTGCTGGGGCAAAAGAGCTACAAAGAAGCAGCCTCATCGCCACCTATACTTAGAAATTTGAATTTCCTGCCTTTTCCCCCCTGCCTTTTTTCTGTTCGTAAGTGGAAGCTCTGGTCGCAAGTAGAAACAAAATTTTGCAGCTGGAGCTGGTCGTAACTCAAAATAGTCGTAAGTAGAGGACGTTCGTAAGTCGAAGCACCACTGTACCTAATTCTCTGCAACAGAATCATTAGAACACACTGATCAAGGTAAATTCTAAAGAGGAAAGTGGAGAAGGGACTATTCTTATGCAGGGAACCATTACAGTATAACAACAAATGTAAAACAGTCTAAGCCATTATATTTTCCTAATGAAGAAACGCTTCAGCATACCTTCATTCTAAGAAGACAGACTATAGAACAAGTCTAAATCAGAACCTTTGTAGTTAACAACTATGTGTGAAAAAATAAGACAGCTGGGACCTGGTCAAACTGTTAACAAATAAGTTACCCGGGGGCGGGAACAGAACAAGGAAAAAAAGATGTGTAGTATTCTGTGATGTCTACTAACACTCTCCTACCATCTAGTTAACATTAAGACCCAAGCAGACACTCTATTTATGTCCTGCTGATGGCTGATAACAAAAAGTATGATAGCAATAGGACATATCACATTTTCCGCTGTACACCTCCAAGTATAGCCCAAAGAAACACATGCCTTCTCACAGCTCTTTCTGAGCTTTGAATGTAGGAAAATGTTCACAAAGCTTCTTTCATCATAACTGCTTATGTTGATATACACATTAGCAATGCACATTTGCATATCAAGCTGTAAAACCTAATTCATTCAATCTTTATTACGGTCATTGACCAGCATAAAACCTTTGGGGATTAAAAATTCTATTCAACAGCATCTTTGACAGTGCAACTGTCAGTGTGATAGGACCTTGACTTGTTTTGAGATGAGAGGGACAAGGATGTAGTCATTTCCACTCTGTGAATCCCACCTCTACAGGAAAAGGGAATTTATGGACTATGTTTAAAAGCATAAGAATTTGTCATCTTCTTGAAAACTGTGGGAAAATTGCTGGCTGTAATGCATTTAGCAGAGCAATTCTACTGAGACCAAATTCTAAATCAGACCTTTGGAAATAATGTTTCCTGTGTCCAGATTTTTAGAGACCATTGAGAATCTAGTGAGATCTTCTGATAAAGGATGTTTCAGAACGTTATGCTCTTTGTCTATACCATTCTTGTAGATATCCCTTTTTTATTTACTCATTCCTCTGGAAATAGTTTCATGAAATACTTAGTGGAGAACTAATTGGAGATGGAATTTCCTTGTTGTAAAGAAACACATGAACTTTTTTTGTTCATCTCTTCACTAAGTATGCAAATCCATGCTTGTGAATAAGCGTAGGAATGAGGAGAAACATTTCTCCTCACCTGCATGATAGTGAGATATCTTCTGGAGCTCTCTATGATGATTCTCACTTTTTTCCTCAAAATTTATCAGCCGTTCCTTCTTGCTGTGTGTGCTTACTTTGCTTAACAAAGACAGCTATTTTCTACAGAGACATGATGTGCAAATTAGACAAACCACATTGAGAGTAAAAAACCACTTATCTTGATCTCACATGGAAGTGAGAATTTTTACAGACAGGACATCAAATGGCTTCCAAACTGACTGTCTTCATATGCTTAGTGAAGGACCAGGGAATTTACAAGTATTTTGGACATCCCTGTTCTTCTCAGCCTTTTATGCTAAATGGCTATTTATCCTCCAACACAAACCTCGGTCCTGTGGCATCGGTGACTGGCTCAAAGCAGGATGGGAGCTGGATTCTGATTGGCTTCCAGAAGTCTGAGACTGAATCTGGCTGCCTGCAAGAGATGTGAAGAAAATAAGTAACTTGCTCTCACTGAAACAAAATACACTATAAAAATATAAAGATTTCTAGCATAACCCTAACCATTTTACTTGGATGTAACATTCATTGTATTCAACGGGGCATACTGTACTTCTAGGAAATTATAGATAGGACTGCACGGTAAATAACTAGCCATGTGGTTTGTACTTCATAGAATACAATAGGTTTAGCCCTTTTACATTCTTTTCTTCTCTTTTCTTGCAACCCAAGAGGAAAATACAAATAAACAAATTTAACAACAGGCACACTGAAATGTTGTATTTGGTACTCAGCCTGTTGTTCCCAACCTCACTGACATGGTTCAATTTATAGTTGCAAATCTCCTGACATACATTTTTGTGAGGTTGTTCAGAGAAATCCATGTCTTCTGAACAGTGGGACTCATCCCATTGAGGTTGACTTGGATTTCAGCCAGGAATATATGGACAGCTGCCAACAACTGTACCAAAGATAAATTTCACCCATGCCACTTGAAACACACAAATAAAATATTTCACTGAATTGGAGGATTTAATGTTTTCTGAGAGCAATAAAACCAATACATATAAAGAGCCTGTGGCATGCACTTTGTTATCCAAATAAGAGCTTAATTTATAATTTACACCTGGCAAAAATACAAAACTAGCATGCAAATTAACATTCAGCATAATCTAACTTAGTGTTTAACCAAAGGAAAATATTACTTCATAAACAGCATCATAAGCAATATTTATATATTGGACTGAATAGCTGCTACAGGCAATGATGCAGAGAAAGTTGCTTGCATCAACAGTAGCTATGCTGCTTTCTCTGTGAGGTCTAAATCACACGTCCCTCCAATGATTAAGTTTTTTTCCTCTATTCTCTCTTTTCTCTCAGTTTTCTCTTTTCTCTCAGAGGAGGAAAGATTTACACAGGGAGTAGCATGGACAGATTTTTATTAATGCTTTCTTTTTATGCTGCTTTTGTAATGAGGATCGATCTCAAACCTGCTATATAACCCTAAAAAAACCTCTAACAACAAGCAGGTCCTTGAGGCCAGTAAGAAAAATACCTGCCCAGGCATGTTGCCTGCCAACAAAGCTCACCAGAGAATATGCTCCATAATTCGTACAAGGTCGTACTGACAAAATTAGCCACATAAGAGCAAAAAGCCACTAGCATGAGGTCCCTGCCAGCATCAGTTCTGTGTGTCTTGCATCAAAGCTGCTGAGTGTCACTGCTAGGTTCTCCTGCTGATGGGTGCTGTTAGTTGATCACTCCACCAGATCACATTGCTACATGTATGGTTACACTGCTGTAAGTCAATTTGCAATGCTGGTCAGCATCATGTGTTCTTTTACAGCACCAATGTGGCGTATACTCAATGTTTTTGAAGAACCCGTGGCTCAGGAAATCAGGTCAGGAGAACTAGGGTTTACTGGACATATATTTCAGGGCATCAGAACAACTATACACTGTGTAAATCAATTCAGGAAGTGCCTGCATGCAGACTGAAGGCCAAGTTAATCTCTCAGTGTTTTATCCCGAGAACTTTCTCTTACTCAGGGCCAAACCAGACAGGACATTAAATGCTTCTTTATACTGTATGAGTATTTGATTTCTGGTTTATCATAAACACATCAGTCTCATGGCTATTAAGTTGTGGGGTGCCATTGGACTCTATTCTGTATCTCTCATGCTGCTGAATTTTACAGTCAGGTTCTATTAGTATTGTGGTGGCAAACAGCTCTGTTTGTCCCAATCACTATAGCCAAATAAGGCTGTTGCTGGACCAACATTAGGATGCTGTGATAGGTGGGACAAGGACCACTATAAAGAAGCCAAATCCTGATAAGAAGACTCTGTGAACTGGTGATCTGTCAGTTCGTAAACAGAATAAGCGGATTGTTCTGGATGGTACTGCATTCTGGTATGTAGCTCCTGGATCTTTCTTTGTCATTTGTCCTAGATGCTTCTTTGATCCTTCCTGGTGATCTAGAATAGTGGTTTTCAAACTGGGGTCCCCAGATGTTCTTGGACTGCAGTTCCCAGAAGCCTTCACCACTTGCTGGCACCAGCTTACTTTAGCTTACCAGTTCAGACCATACTTGAACAGGAAGAACTTTACCATAATATTCATTTATTTAGAGTCATGTGAAAAAGAAAGTACACCTCTTTGAATTCTATGGTTTACATATCAGGTCCTTAGCAGGTCTGAAAATTAAGTAAATACAACCTCAGATAAAGAACACATGACATATTACACCGTATCATGACTCATTTTACCAAAATAGAGCCAAAATGGAGATGATTCAAAGAGGGTGTACTTTCTTCTTCACATGACTGTATATTATTTATATGCAACCTTTCTCACTATAGGGGGCCCAGAGCAGCTCACAATTAAACTGTACAATAATGACAAGTTTAAAATACTATATTATTTCACATACTGGTAACTTCCCATTTATAGTGCTACAAGGAGCTTTATCTGGGGATACATCTGTTTTTGACAGGGAAACTGCAGCTAGTTCAATATCAAGCAATCAGACTACTGGTAGGAACCCGTACAGAAGGAATTGTGCTGGTTGCCAATATTAATATTATTCATTTCATTCCTAGTTTTCTCCCTATTCAGGGAGTCAAAGTGGCTTACAGAATCGGAAAGGGAGGAGAATATATAAATAAAAATATCTAAAATGGGATTAAACTTAAAATACCGTAATATTAGATGACCATTAACTTAGCGTGATTTTAAACTATTTAAAATGAAGTCTCATTTTTAAAAGTTTTTTAAAGAAATGTGCAGAACCCCACACTAAAAAATACCTTTTTTCTGCAGCCCATTCAATTGCCATAAGCTTCTTTGAAGAGAAAGGCATTTGATTGTCAGTGGAAATACACAGGATGTGTATTAACTTGGCCTCCCAAGGAAGGGAGGAGCAATCCCTGGAAAGCCCCTTCTCTGAGGCCCTCATCAGACATGTCTCTGGGGCAGTGAGACTGAGAGAAAGGCCTTTCCCCTGAAGAGAGGGGAGGCTCTTAATGGGGAGATGTGATCTTTCAAAAAGCCCAAACTCTATACAACCTTCTTAGATTGCACTCAGTGGAAATTTTACAGCAGGAGAGACAAACGCTTCCTATAACCAGCCCCAAACATGAGTTCCATCCTTGGTATCTCCTGGTCCATCTGAAAACCTGGAATGTCACTGTCAGTGAGCGTTTACTGAACTGGGCTTGATGGACTAAGGGTCTGAGTCTGCATATGGCAGCTTCCTAACGTCAAGATTTTGATCTTAGAAGCTGGCAATGAGTCAGTGAGATGGCCATTTCACAGGCCACTGGAATGGCAATTTCATAGCCTGTTCACTGTAACAGAAAAGAACATTCTCCTTATCTTCTCTAAGAACAAGGCAACCACAGGACTTTTTCATCTTGTACTCTCTTCTCAAACTCTTACACTGAACGGTATTCCCACCACAAATGCATTTTTAATATTTTTAATATGCTGGCTATAACAGGGGATTATAACACAGGGAAGAGAACAAAAACAAATGGTATCACTAGAGGAAATGAATTATCAGCAGTAACTTAAGCCTCTGACACCTACACATTTCATTTGAAGTAGGTCCAAGTGTTATGTTAACAACAACTCACAAGGAGAATAAATACTGTTACACTTTTCAGTTCTACTATTACCACTACTAGAAATGCCTAGTCGTCGTTTAGTCGTGTCCGACTCTTCGTGACCCCATGGACCACAGCACGCCAGGCCCTCCTATCTTCTACTGCCTCCCGGAGTTGTGTCAAAAGAAATGCCTAGTAGTAACCATCTTTACTAATGGTTATCACTACCAGTACTATTAGCACAGCACACCTTATGTCCCACTGATGGCAGAAAGGCAGCACAGAAATGCAATCAATTGAACAGTCAATGCGGGGACCCAGCATATGCACATTTTTCACCAGGACAAATGGGTGGAAACATGGTTGTGTGTACAATGACTCAGACGCTGCATTGCCAAAGGTTTTTCTTCCACCAGATCCAGAAATGCATTTTTAAAAAACAAACATTTGTTTTACAAAGACTACATAACACACCACAATAATTCATTTAAATGTAACATACAAGAGATTTTCACGAAAGCCCCACTAAAATTAAGATTAGTTCGCTGCCTTTGCTGGACTTTGCTCTACAAAATTTGTTTTCAAGAGAAGAATCTTATGCTGCCATTCAACTGACATAACTGCTTCTACCAGCAGAAGGAAGATCAATTCCCACTCCCCCCATAGCCCCCTGGTCAATTCCAAGACCTGCTCTGAAGAGCCAGGAAACCCTTAAAAGCAATTTAGTGGTCTGCCAATGAAGGTGTGCTTTGAGCTTCAGGTGCTTAAATATACATTGAAGCCCAAGACTGAGCAAGTTAGAAATCCAAACAAATAATTAGATGTTAAATAGCAATATTTAAATTAATTATATAGGATTATTGCTTATCATGTTTAATCTTATGTACAACTATGAAAACACAGCTTCTGCTGTTTTTGAAGATATTTGAATGCACAGGCTGAAATTCTGTTGTGCAGCTCCGTGTGAGCAACATATCACCATCAGTGGCAAATTTTTGCTGTTTAAGCATACACATGATTTCAAGGTGCACATGATTTGTACACAATTCAGCGAACCACAAGCACCCTCGAAATCCCCAGAGAAAGCCTTTAATCAGCAGTGACTTGCCTATTATGACGATGTTGCACAAGTTAAACCAATGAGTGGACAGGCAATGTAGTTTCTTACTCCAAACACATGTACACAGTTTATGTTTTAGGTGGGCCAAATATCACCTTCCAGATGTTAGATTTTGACCAATCAGCCAAGTTGCTATACAAAAGAGAGCAAATTCTTGGGAGTTTCATTCACTCCCTTCAGAAACAGCTTGCCTAGTTTGACAATCTCCTTCGGTTGGACAATAAATATTATGATAAGCACAAGTGTCA